TATGAGAGTCCCAATCTCTCCACATCCTCGCTGGCATTTATTTTCTGTTGTGTTGAACTTTGCAACTAGTGCTGAGGCAAGATGGTATCTCATTGTTGTTTTGATTTGCGCCTCTCTAATAGCTAATTAACCAGAAGGCTGGAGGTTCAAACCCACCAGCCACTCCTCGGAAGGAAGGTTGGGCATTCCTACTTCCGTAGTGATACTGCCTCGGAAACCCAAGGAGGGGTCACTATGAGTCGGGGCCGACTCGACGGCACATAACAACAACAACAATGGCTAATGATCATGAGCATTTCTTCATATGTTTGTTGGCTGCCTGAATATCCTCTTTGGTGAAGTGTCTATTCATGTCTTCTGTGTGTGCCCTCTTTCTTGACATGCATTCTTCAACTTGACCTCCAGGATACCACTCTCCTTTCTACTTCCACTGGCAGCTTCTTCTCAGTCTGATATCACATATGCTGCTTCTCCTGTGTTAAGTTTCTACATGTCAGTGGATCCCCAGACTCATCCTTGTCTCCTTTTTCTCTATCTACATTCACTTCCTAGACAATCTTAGTTGGTCGCATGCTTTAAATGTCATTCCCTCTTAACTTTGAAATTTTTATTCCATGAGAAGCTCTTCTCTAAACTCCAGATTCATATATCTATTTTTCATCACTACTTGAATGTCCTCTTGATTCTGCCTTCAAAATACATCTAAATTTGATCACTTCTCATCATGTTCATTGTTACCACACTGGTATAACCCACTGTCATCTCTGGCCTGGACTAGTGCAAAAGCTTAATCCATCTCCCTGCTGCTTATCATATTCCCTAGATGTCTAATCGCCTAACAACTGCCTTAACAATTTTTTTAAAAAATGTAAATCAGATCATGTCATTCCACTGTTTCAAAATCTTCCAAAAGTTTCCCATCACCCCCCCCCCAAGGAAACTCAAAAGTTGTTTAATGAGCTCTAAAGCCCTGCATGATCTTGTCTGGACTATCTCTTTGACCTCATCTTCCACTTTTCTTTTACTCACTCTGCTCAAGTCACACTGGTCTACTCTTGCAGTCCCTCCAACAGGAGAAACTTAGAACCTTAACTCATACCTTCCCTGCTTAGAATAATCTTTCCTACATGGCTTGATCATTTTCACCAAATAATTGATCAGTTCTTGACATTAAAACCAAACCAAACCTGTTGCTGTCCAGTCTATTCCAACTCATAGCAACCCTATAAGAATGAGTAGAACTGCCCTGATAGGGTTTCCAAGACTATAAATCTTTACAGAAGCAGACTGCCTTATCTTTTCCCCAAGAAGATACTGATGGTTTCAAACTGCTGACCTTTGGTTAGTAGCTGAGCACTTAACCACTGTGCCACCAGACTCCTTTACAGGACATTACACTACATTAAATCTTTGTTTCCTCTTACTACATAGATTATAAATTCCATGAAGGCAGGAACTTTTTGTTGTTGTTGTTGTTATTGTTCACTGCTGTATCCTCCAACACCCAACTGGAACAAGGAAGGCACACAGTAAGTGCCAAAGAACAACTGAAAAATATCACTCAAGGGTCAGGCAGATCAAAATGAGCAGTTTCTTAAAGGACTTCAAGCTCAAGTTCAAAGGCCTTTCTAGTAACATCAACTAATTAAAGTTGTAAAATAAAAACATGCCCAAGCTAACCTGCTTTTCCAACTCAGCAAGTACAAACTATCAGACATCTTTTGGTCACACAATATTAGGTAAGTACATTATCTATGTTTCAGAGCCAGCCAATGCCTGAGGTTAAAAACAGTCCAGGTATCAGCTTTAGACTAGAACAATGCCTGGAACCCAGAGGACAAATACCATGACTACATGAGAAATCAAAGTGCACTGCCTTACATTACAGTTTCAAGGATTCTGGTGGCATAGTGCCTAAGGCACTTGACTGCTAACCAAAAGGCTGGCGGTTCAAACCACCAGCCACTCCTCGGAAGGAAGACTGGGCAATCTACTTCCATAGAGATACTGCCTCGGAAACTCAAGGAGGGGTCGCTTCGAGTCAGATCCGTACTCGACGGCAGTGAGTTGTTTTTTTTTTCTTTTTTTTTTGGTCTCTTGACAAGAAGGGATTGAATGGTTCAACTTTAGTGAATATATTGAATGAGAATACCACCCCCCTACATTCTTATCCTAGCTACTTATCTAAATACTTTTTTTCAAAGGAAAACACTACTCAACAATATTTTTAGATCAGTGGCTCTCTAACTTCAACAAGTATAAACATCACCTAAGGACAGTATTGGGAGCTCTGGTAGCATAGTGGCTAAAGGCACTTGACTGCTAACCAGAAGGCTGGCGGTTCAAACCCACCAGCCACTCCTCGGAAGGAAGACTGGGCAATCTACTTCCATAGTGATACTGGCCTGGAAACCCAAGGAGGGGTCACTATGAGTCGAGTCCGACTCAATGGCCCATAACAACAACAAGGGCAGTATTAAAAATGCTCTCAAAGTTCCACATCCAGATATTATGGTAGTGTAATGGGGGAAAAGGGAATCTGCACATTTAACAAGCATCTCAGGCGATTATAATGCAGGTGGCCCACAGTCCATTTTGGAAATACATCTGGTCTACAAAATCTAACTGAGCTATACCCAATCCTCCTGGTCAACTTCCAAAAACCCAAATGGCCTAGATCCTAGCTTTTGATTTCTTTTCTGTCTTATAGATGTAACTGAACTAAATTACAAAAAATACAGGGTGAAGGAAGGAGTTTGGTTAACATTTTGTTATGTTTTCTTCTAAATTTGTCTCTAGGTATATAGAGTTTGTTCCTTTTCTTTTCACAGTTGTAACTGTCCACAGAGTTTCAAATGTCATTTATGTTAAACATTTTCCATGCTCTTATAATCTAGTCTTCTTAAGTATTATTTAGTGGTTGTATTACATTCTATGAAGTGGACTTACCACAGTTTACTGAACCATTTCCCCTACAGCTGAACACTTCCTTACTACCATAAAGAATGCAGCTGTAAATATTTCTGTGTGGTCTGTTTTTCAGTAGTGAAATACTTCCTAAGTGGAGGTGGGAGTGGGGGGGTGGAATACATAGCTCCAAACTATTTTCCAAAGGGTTTTACCACCACCTCTGTGGTAAAACCTTACTATCAGTTACTATCTTTGAAAAATAAAGTGTTAGCATGTAATATTATCTTTTAATATCGATGTTATCTTTTAATAACTTAAAGATACTATCTTTAGAACATATATTTTCTGTTAATAAACCAAAACCAAATCCACTGCCATCAAGTCAATTCCGACTCCTAGTGACCCTATAGGACTGAGTGGAACTGCCCCGTAGGGTTCCCAAGGCTGTAAATCTTTACTGAAGCAGACTGTCATCTTTTTCCCCCAAGGGGCTGGTGGGTCCAAACTACCACCCTTTTTTGATTAGCAGCCAAATCCTTTAACCACAGTGCCACCTGAGCTCCTTTTTGTTAACAGAAGGGGAAAAGCACTTCACTTTTAAATTATTCACTTCTTTAATTACTAATGAGGTTAAACATTTTTTGTTTACTAGTAGCATTTTTTTCTTTTCCCAAATTATCTAACTTTGCTTTATCCATTTATTAATGGCATCTTAAAAACAAACAAACAAACAAAACCAGGGGTGGGAGGGGAGGGAAGGGAACATTGTTAGATAGACAGAGAAAAAAAATACCCAAAAAAACAAACTCACTGCCGTTGGGTGGGTCCCAGACTCATAGCGACCCCTCCTTGGGTTTCCAAGGCGGTATCCTTACAGAAGTAGCTTGCCCAAGCTTCCTTCCAAGAAAGGCATTTTAAGTATGTGTGAATTGAGTTGTGAGCCTTTGTGGACTATCTACTCTGGTCCATGGACCTGCCTGTTTTTGTATCAGTCCCACCCAAGATTCTGCTACTTCAACAGGGGCACACTGTACTCAGGCAACTAAAAACATAGTAGGAGCTCTGGTAGCACAGGGCCTACAGCACTTGACCGCTAACCAGAAAGCTGCCGGTTCAAACCCACCAGCCACTCCTCGGAAGTATGGTTGGGCAATCTACTTCCGTAGTGATACTGCCTCGGAAACCCAAGAAGGAGTCACTATGAGTCGGGTCCGACTCGATGGCACGTAACAACAACAGTATAATGAAAAACACAGGGTCCTCACCTGCATTGGCTTGGTTACGTTGGGCAATTGACTTGACCTTTTCTGGCCTTGTCTTATTTACAAAATTGGGGAAAAACAACATCTGTATCTCTCTAATAGGGCTGTTCTGACTAAAAGTAATGCTAAACTATTAGCTCCCTTGACCTGGCAATGTTTCGCTCTGTCATACATAAGGTCGCCATGAGTTGGAGCCGATGCCATAGCAACAACTAAATAAATTAATCGGAAGTCCAGCTACTGTCCTCAAATAATTAAAAAACAACCTCTAACGGAGGGATTCATGTTTACTCAAATGGGAGCTTGTCTGCAGGAACACAAGGCAGGTACAACTACACCACAGCTTTGGTATTCACTTTCGTAGGGGCAGGATCTTTGCAACAAATACGCTGAAGAAAAAGGTGTCAGAGGTTTTTCATAATTATAATAATAATAAAAGACACCAGTCCTGCAAGGCTTTTCAACTACTACTCTTCTAATGAAAACAGAATTCTGCAAAGGTTGTGTTCTTCCAGATTTAATAATGGGCAATCAGGACAACCTGATTGGTACTCTACGCTGACAATTCTCTAATTCTGAAGCCTGGGCAACGATCCAGTATTGGAATGTGAAAGAGCCTTTTAACAGCAAGATGCTCGCTATGTGGATGCAGACATTTACATTTATTTTAACAGCTGGCACCCAGCCAAGAGCATCACTGACGGAGAGCAAACTGAGGCCGGGAGCGGGGAAGGAGAGCCTGGCCCAAGGTCACCAGGGAAACCGCGACACGCCTGACGCTGCCTCCGCCGGCTCCGCCGCCGGCCGCGCTGCCCGCCGGCCGCTCACCTCAACAGCGCCAGGAAGGCGGCGGGCTCCACGTCCGGCAGCTCGATCTCGGCCGACGTAGTGGCCATGCCGCCGTTGAACATGGCGTCGAAGACGGCGCTGCCCGCGGCCAGCACGAAGCGGTGGGCGGGGATGCGCTGCGGGCCCCCGGCGGCGACGGCCGCGCCGCGGCCCTTGCCCAGCACGAAGCGCACATCGCTCAGCAGCTCTGAGTTGAAGAGGAATGCGAAGCGTTCCTTCAGCGACGCCTTGGTCGCCTGCCAGTTGTACAGTGGCTCCCGCTGCAGGGGGAGCAGAGGCCCCAGAGAGGACGGCGGCGACCCCGCGGGGCCTGGCTCTGCCTCAGCCCCTGCCTCCGTCCCCGGGGCCTGCTCCCCCGGCGTGGCCGGCCCGACCGAGGCCATTCTTTAGCTGCGCGGCTCCCCCGTCTAAGGAGAGCGCTTCCGCGGCCCAGCAACCATTGCCAAGGCCGCCCCCGGAGGCCGGCACCGCCTCTCCGCCTTCCGGGAAAGGCGCTTCCGGAGGCCGCGTGCCCAGCTGTCTCTCTCTCGGCCCCTCCCTGCCCGGAGCCGCTCGGCGCGCGTCCTCGGTAATAGGCGCGCACCCGCCGGGCGGGGATTTCGGGGCGCGCGCGAAGCCGCCAGAGTTGGGGCTGGAGGGGACTCCTTGAAGTAGACAATCCCTCTCCTTGCGCTCTGCGCGCCTAAGACCTGCGCTCCACAGTGGAGCTTCAGTAGTCTCTAAGGGGTCACGCCCAAGTTGACCGGACGAACCTCCAGGAGCCTTCTCTGATCTGCGGCTCAGTTGGCAGATTGAGGCTTCTTCCTACCTTCAGACCTCTCATCACTAGCTCTAGCAGCCCCATATGTTCCTAGGACAGATCCCCAGTCCTAGTCCTTCTCAGGGTTTCCTACTAGAAAATGGAAATGGACGGAGGGAATGGCCAAGGAAGCGTCTGTGGAGGGGCCAACATGATTCCTGACAGCCCTCATCCCCATCATGTCCAAGTCAGCACTCCAAATGGCCATCACTCCTGTGGTAATTCAAGAGCAGAGTGGGGAGGCTTGGAAACTCAGTGACTTCTCAGGTTTGTAGGTCTCTTCCCCTTCAAACTGCCCACTCATCATGGCCTCCCAGCCTAAGTGACACTTGCACCTGGTCCCAGGGTCCTCATACCCCATCTAGGCATACTGCTTCCATTCCTGTTCTTAAAGCCCTTTTGCTTACCTCCTCTGCCCTTCTAAGCACTTGTTTTCAGTTCCTTACACTGAAAGAACCACCATGTAAGCCTAAAGTAAAGAATAAATGGAAAAGATTGGGTCAACTCTGTTATCCCCTCCTGAGCAGTACTTTTAATGTGGATCTTGAGGATCAGGGAGAGGGGCATTCCCTGCCCACTACAGTGAGGCAGGCCCTGAGTCCAGTGGGCTATTAAAGGCAGAAGGTAAGAAACAGAAGAAACAGTTCTTAAACAGGCAAGTATAGTCAGAAACATCTTATTCTTTGTAGGAAAAGCCTTCTAGATTACAAATGCCAAGTTATAAGGACCCTAAACCTAGGTTTCTCCTGTAAAACCAACCACTCCATCTGTCTGTCTCATTTTCCAGAGGGTACTTCCAGTGCTGTTAAGACATTAGAGAAACTTGAAGAGGTAATGAAGTAGTGGATGAACAACCCCTTCCCCAAGCCCAGGTTAGATGGAAAAAGTGTCCACATTTTACTTCAAAATGTAAGTGAATAGATTTTATTCAAAATGCATATAGTGGAATGACAAACTGAAAGCTCTAGTGCTGGAAGCCTAAACTATCCATAGCTGTATGCTCAAAAAGAAAATCAAAGTGGCCATCACTCATTTCATATTCATATATTTGTGTAGTGAGATTTGAGGCAAAACAGTTCCCTGTGATGAAGATCCAGGGTGGGTGCTGAGGAAATGAGTGAATAAAATAGAAGGGAGACAGGGAAGAATTAGGGGCTAGGCCTCATCCACACAGATATTAAGATCACCTGGAATCAGTGGAAGAGTCATGGTTCCAGAGTCTTCAAGGAATGTAGAGGATGGCCTAGAAATATGCAAGTAGAAGCAAAGAGGGTAGCGTGTGCATATGGTTAGGATTTCAATGGAAGAGGGGTTACTGAATGAAGGAGGTAGAACAGTGGTATGGAAACAATAGTGGATAGTAATAAAAATACTATCTTCTCTCTGGCTCTAAAATACATGGGTATTTTATTTTATTAGGGATGGTTGCAGGGGAAATGGAATTCTCTGGAAGGCTAGTTTGGGCCCAAAGTAAGGACATTTTGTCCAAAAATTGATTCCTCTCAGAAACTGACCTACGAAATTGCCTTCTCACACTAAAACTTCTTTCTAACCCTCTCTGTCTCCAAACTTCCCTTCTGTTATCTCCAAACTTGATAAAAGTCTGGCCTCTTGTTTAGTGGTGCTTTGAAGAGTTGAGGAGAACTAGCAGCCACATTAGGGGTGGTGCAGTATAAAGAAAAGACCATAGCCTCAGGAGACAAGATGGTGAGCAAGGGCCAAGAATTTGGAGCAAGAGGTGATCAGGAGAATACAAGCTCCCTTTTCCTTCTCTCTCGGAAATCCTTGGGAATATCCAGTAAAGTCCACAGTACATGAAAAGGGGGTTGAACTCTTTTACTTGTATATTAAGGAAACTGTAACCTCAGAAGGCTAGAGATTTGGGAATATTTTTGATACCTACAAAAAGCATAGACCTACTTTTTACCAATAGAAAACATCACTGAACATCAAGCTCAATTTTGTGTAACATACTATACAAAAACATAGTTCTAATCCTGCTTGGGTGAGTAGTAACTGGAATCTTAAGAGCTTGTGAGTGGCCATCTAAGAGGCAACAATTGGTCTCTCTCTTCCTTTGGAGCAAAGAAGAGTTAAGAAAATCAAACCAAAGCTCACTGCCATCGAGTGAATTGCCACTCATAATGACCCCCATTGGGTTCCCGAGTCAATTCCGACTCATAGCAACTCCCATTGGGTTTCTGAGGTGGTAAATCTTTATGGAAGTAGGTTGCGCAGTCTTGCTTTCACAGAGTGGCTGGTGGGTTTGAACAACCAACCTTCTGGTTAGCAGTCAGATGCCTTAGGCACTGTGCTAAATCAAAGACAAATGGAAATAGTTAGTCCAAAAGACTAGGGACCACAAGAACCTCAGCCTGATGACACCAGAAGAGCTAGATCATGCTCAGCTACCTCTGCCAACCACTCAGATAGGGGTCAAAATTGGAGATCTTAGAAAGTGGGAGAAAAATGTGGAACAAAATTCAAAATTATAAACAAAACAAAACAGGCTTATTGATCTGATGGGCACTGGTGAACACCCCGAGACTATGGCCCTAGTCACCCTTCAGACCTGGAACTGAACTCACTCCTGTGCCTTAACTTCCAGCCAAGTAATAGGTCTACGAGGAGAGCAATTACACCAGATAGGAACCCTCTTTAGAACACACAATCATGTGAGATCAGATTTGTGCAGGCAGATAGCTCAGAGGGCAGGAATGCATAAGAAAGGAAACAGGGAAAAGGTAACCACAGGGAGGAAGTGGGAAGAGAGCTGTTACTTTGTGGGGATTTCAATCAATGTCACAAAACAAAATACTATGAACTGTTGAGTGGAAAACAAATTTGCTCTGTAAACTTTCACTCAAATCACAATTTAAAAAAAGAAGAAAGAAAAAGTCATTGGTATCCCCAGGTGGTGCAAGTAGCTGATGTACTTGCTGGTAACTAAAAGGTTGGAGGTTGGGTCCACCCAGGCATGCCTTGTAAGAGAGATCTGATGATGTCCTGAAAAATCAGCCTACAGAACACAGTTTTACTGTAACACACATGGATTATCATGAGTTGGAACTGACTCCATGGCAAGGAAGAAAAAATGAAAACAACTTTTTGCCATGCAGATTATAAAAATTGACCACTTTTATTATTAAAATTTTCAAGTGTAGGAAAAAGCTGAACGAATGGTACAATGAACACACGTAGAACCAATAGATTCACCAATTAACATGTTGCCATGTTGTTGTTTTTTTCTGAACTATTTCAAAGCAAGTTGAAGAACTCTTGGACCTTAAATGCTTCAGCAGGCATTTCCTAAAGACTAGGACATTATCCTATAACCACCATACCATTAGCACACCTGATGCAACTAACAATAATGCCATAGCACCATCTAATATATATATATATATATATATATATATATTTGTTTATATATATATATATAAAACAAATAATTCCAACTCATAATGACCCTATAGGACAGAGTAGAACTGCCTCATAGGATTTCCAAAGCTGTAAATCTTTATGGAAGCAAATTACATCTTTCTCCTGTGGAGCGGCTGACAGGTTCGAATGCTGACCTTTTGGTTAGCAGTTGAATGCTTAACAACTATGCTATCAGAGCTCCAGTCCATATTTCAAAACCAAACCCATTGCCATCAAGTCAGTTTCAACTCCTATAGGACAGAGTAAACTGCCCCATGGGTTTTCCAAGACTGTAATCTTTACAGAAGCAGACTGCTGCATCTTTCTACCACAGAACAGCTGGTGGGTTCAAACCGCTGAGCTTTTTGGTTAGTAGCTGAGAGCTTACCCACTGTGCCACCAGTTTCCCCAATTGTCTAAAAAATGGCTTTCATAAATGATATTTTAAAAATCCAGGATCAAATCAAAGTTTGCAATCATAGTGACCCTTCCTTGGGTTTCCGAGTATCCCTGCAGAAGTAGATTGCCCAACCTTCCTTCCGAGGATTGGCTGGTGGGTTTGAACCACCAGCTTTCTGGTTAGCAGTCTAATGCCTTAAGCACTAGGCCACCAGAGCTCCTGTATATCTTTTTAGCCTATTTTTATTTAAAATAGTTATCTCATCTTTTTTTTTAATTGTTATTATTATATTAATTGAAGAGTCTAGGATTTTTTAGTAGAATGCTCTTCAGTCTAAATTTGCATAGTTATTTCTTCATAATTCTTAATGAGATTCTGTTGTTGTCGTTGTTATATGCCATCGAGTTGGACCCGACTCATAGTGATCCCTCCTTGGGTTTCCGAAACAATATCACTGCGGAAGTAGATTGCCCCATCTTCCTTCCGAGGAGTGGCTGGTAGGTTTGAACCACCAGCCTTCTGGTTAGCAGTCAAGTGCCTTAGGAAATATGCTACCAGAGATCCTGGAACCACCAGCCTTCTGGTTAGCAGTCAAGTGCCTTAGGCACTACGCTATCAGGCTTATGGATAATGAGATTCTAGGTTAAACATTTTTGGCAAGAATACTATGCAGATGATATTGTTGTTGTTATTTGCTGTCGAGTTGGACTCGACTCATAGTGATACCTCCTTGGGTTTCCGAGGCAGTATCACTACAGAAGCAGATTGCCCCATATTCCTTCTGAGGAGTGGCTGGTGGGTTTGAACCACCAGCAGATGATATTATGTACTTCCTATTGCATCACAGCAGAAGGCAAAGAATACTGAAAAATACCATGGACTGCTAGAAGAACGAACAAATCTATCCTGGAAGAAGTGCAGCC